TTTTTTTTTTTTTTTTTTTTTTTTGCAAACAATGGAAATACTGACTCTGTGTGTCCTTAAGGACATCAATTGGAAGTGACACAAGCATCATTCAGACAAGTTGACTAGGAATGGCTTGCTATTAAAATTGCTGAGACGTCCAGGAGAAGACTGCAAGAATAGCTAAATCCAGGGGCAGATGATGGATGATGTCATCCATATTTAATCTTTGCCCCTCCCCCTGTTGGCGTCATGGTGAGGTACACTGTCAGTGTGTGGTGGGAAGCGGCTATGTGGCCATCCTAAGGCACTGCTTAGAATTTCTAATTCTTTTAAAAGTAAGAGTGCCTTTCCTTCCCTTGAAACTTCATGGAAGGATCAGGTTGACCCCATTGCTCCCGCTCCTCCTTGGGAGTGTGGTGTTCTCTATTCTACACCTTTGACAATAGCAGTTCACGGCCCTTCGCATACCACCAAGAGGCAGGAGAGATACGCACCCCTGGAAAGGGGAAGCAGCAGCTAGAAGCCAGTTGCCACAGCAGTGCAAGGGACATTGTGTGACACATTCCTATCCTTACTGTTTTCTCTTGGAGGATACAGGAAGCCATGCTTGCCATAACTCATTTTCAAACTCAGCCACCAAGCGGTGCCCTCTGTTCACCAGCGCCCCCCACCCCCGCCCCGCCCCGCCGTTCCTCATCATGTCCCCTCTGGCCAGCAGGGCTCCCCAATTCCTTCTTTGCCCCCTTGTTTTTAGTGTGGGGTGGGAACAACATACCCAGCCTCTGCCATGCCTCTCTGCCTCCCTTCTGTCCCTCTTGCTGAGCTGATGTCTCTAGTACTGGGTCTATGCAGGGCTGGGCAATGCCAGACCCTGTGGGACTGGGTGACCCTATGAGCAACAATAGCCAAGGCAAGGAGGACCCCCAAAGGGCAGCAGGGCAGCCTTCTGGAATGTTGTTACTGCAGAATTACGCAGCTTCAAACCTGGGCCCTGCAGCCCCATCCTCATCCTCACTGCCAGCCTCTGGGGAGACCGAGCCATAAACACATGATTACTGAAGCTGCAACTCAGTCACAGGCATGTCCCAGAGGACTGGAGGGGAGAGCAGGGTGACTCATTGGGCCAGGCCCCGGGAGACAGACGGGCCCCAGGGATGCACTGGCGTGGGATGCAGGGCGATGAGTATGGTGCCTTGCAGGGGGCACATCTAGTGTTAGTGTGGGGAGGTAGCTCTCTGCTGCAGTTGGGAGTGGGGTTGATGCCCATGACTGTGTCTAGATGACACGGTCTTATCAGCCTCTGACTATATATACTGAGGGCATCAGGGAACCATAGAAAGCTCTTAAGGGACAGAGGGGACACTAGACAGATCAGGGACTAAGGGGCAGAAGGCTGGGTATGTGAGAAATAGTCAGGGAGCCCTGGTTCCTCTGTTAATAGTGGTCCCCACTCACTGGCAGGGGAGCCTTTTGTTTCTGGGACTAGAGAGGGCAACCTTGCCCTCCAAGGAAGGCTAGAGCATCACCCTGGGTCAGAGGAGCGAGGCGTGCTGGCTATCTCTGGGCATGTCCCTTTAACCTGGACATGGCCCTGGCTGGCGGCAGTGATGACTCTCCCAACTGCAGTGGGCTGAGCGGCGCGTCAGAGCTCCCCCTGTGGGCTGACAAACCAGGCTGCCCCAGCGTCCTCCAAGCTTGCCGCCCCTGCTTGGTGGCTGCTCAGTCAGAGACAGGAGCAGCAGAGGAGGAGAGAAGAAGAGAGGAGAAGAGGCTGCAGCTGCTACTGCTGCAATCCGGAGCCCAACTCAGGGAAGCAGCGCAATCTCCCTCCAGAGAGCTAGGTGGGTGTAGCCCTGCCCCTGCCCACCCATGGGTCTCTCTCCTGCCTGCATTCCCATCAGACCAAGGGAGGCAGACTAGATTGGCCACCTGTCCCTGCTGGTCCCTTGACTCCTTAATTGTGTATGGCTTCTCTATTCCCCAGGGGGATGACAGAGGCGCTGGGTAGGGCCTCTGCTGAGCATTCTGGTTCACATGCTATGTGTGACGGATGTCAGGGCCTTGGCTTTGTCTTCATTCTTGAGTGACATACTATGTTAGGACCCAAAGTTCAGGTGTCACCAAGAACAGCCTCAGTGACTGGGGATAGATCTTCCTTGCCCCAAGGTGGAAAGGGACCTGGAAGTAGTTAGGTAGGCCGAAGGGTCACCGCCTAGGGGGTCATAGCCCAGTGGAAGTGCCAAGGGCCTGTGGCAGGATAGCAGAAGCCCTGGAGTGTTTTGAGCCGAGCCTGGGCACTGCAGCTACCAGCTCCTGTGGTGGCGTGAGCTTGAGTTTAATTGATGCCATTGATTGAGAAACGTTCTTTCTCAGCGCCGAGCCACACCAAGTGTCAGGGTTCTGCTGTGTCTGTGCTGTCTAGTCTAGTACATCTCCCTCCTCCAAGCATTCTCTTCTGTCTCTGTGTCTGTCTTTCTGTCTCTCCACCCTTGTCTCCCTTCTGTTTCCTTCTCTGCCTATCTCTCTGCTCTTCTCTTCCCCCTTCCCTCCCTCCCTCTCCAGCTTTTGCTGTTTCTTTCTTTTCCTCTAATGTCTCCTTAGGCTCACAGCATGTCTTTCTGCTTCTATAGCATCCTCCTGGATTCCTCCTCCGATCCCAGTGCCCTTCTATGGACTGCCTTTCCCATTCTGGCTTTCTTATCAATAGCATGTCTTCCTGGAAATCCAGCCACTGGGACCTGAGCTGGGGGGTTCCAGGAAGGCTGAGTAAACCTTCCCACACATCCCCTTAGGTACCACCGAGCAGTCCTCCTGCAGATGCAGTGGACAAGGCACCCGTGCTCAGCATGGGGGCCAGTGAGTGCTCCTGGGCACTTTGTGATTTCGGTGTGAACTCCCTAAGGCATGTTTTAGCAGGCCCCAGCAACAGCAGAAGCCTGCTAATCTTGTTTCTCTCTTACCACCTTCTTGTCAGCACCATTGTGAGGAGGCCAGCTTCTAAGCACCTACACGGTGTATGCCTTATGTGGGGCACATTGCTGGTGGCTTCTGGTGAAGTGCCGAGCACTGAGGAACCATGAACTACTGATATGCTCAAGGCAGAGGGTCTACCCTTAAGGAAGAGCAGACAGAATCCAAGGTGGCTTGAGTAAGGAGGGAAAGTGGACCCTCCTTCCCAACAGTCCTACCTCCCCTCCCCCCCAATTGCCAGTCTTGAAAGCCCCATGGGTGATGGACAACTGTTTACCCCACACGCCAGTAGCTGGCAGGGACAGGGGCAGGGATGGGTTCCTTGCTTACTGGAAGTGAGAGGCAGAGACAGAGAATGAGAGAGAGCTTTCCTGGCTGCTCTTTGCTGTTTTTCCTGGAGATTGGTCCAGGAAGCAGAACTTGGGAACAGTCCCTGCAGGCTCCGAGCTGTTTTTCTCACCTCACGGACAATGCAACAATGAGCTAGAACTTGGCAGCCTCTGCAGAGGAAGTTGGGCAGGCTTGCCTGGAGCCAGCCCTGTGGGAAGATTATCACCAGGCAAAGGCAGAGAGCCACCAGAGCAAGCCTAAGGCCGTGGGGGCAAGGTGGGCTGTGAGCTTTCTCTGAAGTTCCTGGGGATTCTCCTCCAAGTCACCCTCAAGGCACACTGTGCCTAGTGAGCCCTGGGATCTGGTAGTCTTGGCTCCTCTCTGCTGCCACTCTGGCTGCAATGGAACTTCATAGACAGATGCTTCTTCTGGCTACAGCACAGCCAGGCCAACTTGCCCTGTGCCAGAAGCCACTTGGGTAGGCCTGTACTGGGACTCAAGAGTGTCACCTGGCATCCTCTGCTGAAAGACATCTCACCTTTGTCACACACTGCCTGGCCCACTCTGCTTTCCATGTTGACCACTCAATTCTGAGAATAGGTGCCATGTTTTTCATTGACTGCCAAGGGGAAAAGCAGCTCCTAGAGCCACGGCCCAAACCCATAAGAGCCAGGTACACTGTTTGCCTGCTCCCCAGGGGGTTCTGGGGCAAGCAGGCCACGAGAGAGATGGGCCTGGGGTATGATCCCAGTCTGCTCTGCTAGCCAAGTGCTCTGAGCAGTGGGAAGCTTCTGGGCCTCATTTCTTCACGTGTAACTGGACCACAGTACTTGTCTCCTTGGTTATCACAGAATCAAAGACAATCCAAGCCTGGGACACAGGTGTTCAGGGACTTACTGCCATGCTTGTTTTGGGAGACTCAGCAAAAGAGGGTGTCAGAGTTGAAGGGTTCTTTGAGGATCCATGAAATGGGTATATGGATGTTGTCACCAATCCTCTTGTTTACTTCCCTCTCCTTTTTCCTCTCCTGTGCTTGTGCATCCATCCGTGAATGCACCTATCCACTTAGATCTGTCAGCAAATCTACCTCATCCATCAATCTACATACACACCCATCCATCCGTGTATCCATCCATGTATCCATCCATCCATCCATCCATCCGTCCGTCCACCCACTTATCCTTCTGTGTACTTACCTACCTCATCTATCAATCTACACACAACCTTCGCAGCCACACATTTACCCATCTATCCATCTGCATGCACACTTACCCTTTCACCCACTTACCACCCTCTGTGCATCTATCCATCCCATCTTTCCATCCACGTATGCACCTAACCACTTACCACTCCATACATCCATGTACCCATTTACCCACCTATCCATCTATCTGCCCACTTACCCAGTTCACACTGGCCAATTCCCTGAGGCTGCTGGGCGTCTGTTCTGCAGCACGCATCTGAGCTATTTCTGCTGCTACTGCATGGGAGAGGACAGGGCTAAGTCATGCACTGGCTCTTAAAAGCAAAGCTTCTGCCCTCTCATGTCACATTAGCTCATGCTTACTAGCCAAGTCACAAACTGTGTGTGCTTGCACTGTGGGGGAGGGGAGAAGGAAAGGAGCTGGGAATGATGAGACTGTGCACACCATTGAGACATATAAGTCCCCAGGTCCATCTCAGGAAGGTGACGGTGGAGCCCAGGGTAGGCTGGACTTGACTCTCATCCCAAGATCAGTTGGATCTTCTGAAGTTGCCCACTGGGATCAGAAGTGCCACATGCCAGCATCAGGGGTGGCCAGCGCTCTGCTTCTGAGGCCCAGGAGGGAGTCTGTCTCCTTTCCTAGATTCTGGATGCTCCTTGGAATCTATGGCTTTCACCATCTCCCTGCTTTAGTCTGATTGGCCCTCCTGCCTCCCTCTCATGGATGCTGTGATCCCACTGGGCCACTACATAATCCAGAGTGGGCTCCCTGTCACAAGAGCCTCGATGTACCATCTGTGGCATCTCTTTACCCCCACAGGATAGTGCCACCACAGGTGGTTAGTTTGTGCATGTTTTTGGAGCACCCCCCCCATCATTCCTCCCACCACTGTGATATGTTAAAAGTATAGACACAGCTATGGACTAGGGCTGTACTGGAGCAGGCCCATCCTGGTTTACCCTTGCTCACGAGAACTCCAAGTCTCCTTGAGAGCGCTAACTGTGAAGATTATTCACACCAGAGAAAAGTCTCCTTGATAGCACTAACTGTGGAGATTATTCATACCAGAGAAGGCAGCACATGCTGTGGCCAGAGCCGTTTACTTGGGTGAGCCTTTGTTGAACATCTTCAAGGTATTTGCACCATCCCAATGTTGCACACCCCATGGCTCATCATCATGAGACCAGATACTGAGTCAGTGCTGACCAGAGCTGGGGGTGCAGGTAAGCCACAGACTTGGGAGGGTGGTGCTTCTCTTCACAGGCCTCTGAAGGCCTTGTGTCATTGGATGACTTGCTCACACCTAGGCTGTGATCAAGGCCATGACTTAAGCCTGGGTCTTTCCAAGGCTCAGCTCTGGTACATATGTGCAAAGTGTTGGAAGCCGGTTGTGGGGAGTGTTGAGAGAACCATGGGTGTGAGAGGCCAGGTTCCTGGGCAGTCCTGACAGAACAGAGGCACTGGTCCACTTATTTGGCCAGTTCCCACCATCCAAAGTCAATCAGTATGTATAAACACAGGGAAAGTGCTCCAGCTCTTATACCAAGCAAAACTATCCCATCCTGGCAGCCATGTCTTCTGTTCTGATTTTGTTCTCAAGGGTCAGTACACAGTTTTTCAAGAGGCAAACTAGGGCCTCGGAGCAGATGGCAGTGGTTAGGGGCTTGTGTGGAGATCAGTAAGATGGTTTGAGACATTCCAGAAAATAATGACCTGCCACTCTCCTGTTCTTCTTGTTACAGGCTGCCAACAGCTACCTGCGAGATCAGTGGTTCCATTCTCTGCAGTGGAAGGTAAGTCAGACCCCTACTGGTGGTTTTGCAGCTGCTACTTGGGGCTTACAGAGTGCTGGCTGAGAACCAGGCAGGACACTGGCCTGGAGGTGGGGAATGTCGCCTCTTGGGTGGCTCAACTGCTCTTGTTGGAAGCCTCTGCTCCCTCTGGCTGAGAACCAGGCAGGACACTGGCCTGGAGGTGGGGAATGTCGCCTCTTGGGTGGCTCAACTGCTCTTGTTGGAAGCCTCTGCTCCCTCCCCCCCCCCCAAGTGCTGTGCCTTGTGATAGAAGCAGGTGGTGGCCACTCAGCTTGGAGCCATTCAACTGCTGCTCCCTTGCTTCCAGGAGGATCCTAGGCCTGCTTTCATCACAGGGAGGGCAGACCTGGGGTCCAGGGAGGCTGGATTCTGGGGTCCAGAAGGTTCCTTGAACAAGAAGCTTTGGAAGTGTGCAGAGTGGCTCGTGTTCACCAATCTTGCTCCTTTTGGTGGCCTGGCTCTCCAGCCTCACTCTCTTTCTCACTCATGTGGAAGTTTCAAGCTTCTGGCACTTGGAGATGGCAGATTCCTGCTGTCACTTCTTAGGCCCGGGCCAGCTTTCCTGATGAGAAAAGCCCCCGGGGGACCCAGTTCCGTGGCCCAGGCGATGGATCCCGGTCACAGGGCATCGGTGGTGCATCCTAGAATATCTCTTGTCTCCCTCCTCTGCCTTCTGAACCGTGTTTCAGCACTCACCATTGTAGGTGTGGACCATGCCATGGTGGCCTGAAGGGCCTGAGGCTGGCAGCATGCAATAGAGCGAAGGAGAACCCAGAAAAATCACATGATTGTCCCCGAGAAATGTTCCTCTCCTCCCCGGTTATCTGTTCATCTTCTTGCTCTCTGCCTGGTGCCGAGTCTGAGCCAAGTAGGAATCATTAGGGTGACACTGCATTTATTGAGCACCTACTGTGTACAGGCAACTAGGCAGGATTCTTGCTCTCCGTTTCACCAGTGCCGTGCCTCTGTGAAGTTCATTCCTGTCTGTGCCAGGCTTAGTCCAGGAAAGGTAGGCTCAGTCTGCAGCTCAGCTTCCTGCAACCTGCAAAGGCCCAGGAAGGTTCAGGGGATCCTGACTCACCACCAACCTTTTGAAGGTGGTGAATGTTTCCTCCACCTGCACTCCAGGCACACCTCCGAAGCTGTGCTTATGAAGTGGCGTAAAATGGAGTTTCAAGCTGAGCTTGGTGGCACATGCCTATGTTTCTAGCACTTAGGAGTCTGAGGCAGGAGGCTTGCCACCAGTTGGAGGCTTACAAGAAAATGAAATTCCAAGAGACTTTGGTGGAAAGATCATTTCAGAGTTGAAGCCTAGGATTGATTATGTGTGAGATTTACAAAGTGAATCTAGAGCTAAGGAGGATGTCCTTGGGTCTCCAGTGGTTCTTAAAGGGCCTGGGTCTCAATTCTGGTGGTGCCTGCCATCTTTATGATTCCTAAATTCAGTGAGTGAAAACTTTCTTTGAAAGCACCCAGGAAAACTAAGCCAAAGTTGTCAGAGGATGGCAGTGGCCTTGCCAGGCGCTGTCCCCTCCTCCAAGAGTTAGGTGGTGACCCTCATTCCTACCATATAAGCTTGTATGAGATGCTAGTGTAGTCTCCTTGGGGCAGTTGGCCTGGGATGATTTGGGTATTCGGCCACTAGGTGGCAGTGGTCTCTTGGTATAGCAACGTGATTTAATGATGGCTCCTGGAGGTGTAAGTTTGGTGAGAGTTGTTAAACCTTGTTGTCCAACCTTGCAAAGTGACGGAGAATCATAAGCTGTTAGGGGGAATACTTCCAGCTAGTAATGTCAGCTGGAAGTCCTGGATTCTAACCCTTGCTTTTCCTTGTCCTGTCCAAACAGATCTGGGGGTTGGTTCATTTAACTGAATACAGTTACTGAAGCTCATAATGTATCAGGCCTAGCTTAGACACTTCTGTTCTGCTGTCATTTAGCCAGTATGGGAACTAGAGTTCAGAGAGGCCAAACAGCTTGCCCATAGTTGCACAGCAACTTTAATCCAGACCTGTGGGTCCATCCTGCCTCCTCTCTGTTAGACTGCCTGAGATTTGGACTCATCCGCCCATTCAGGATGCAACTCTCTCTCTGGCTCTGAGTCAGCCCAGCCACTCTTTTCCTCCACAGGTAAAGGCAGCCATCATGGAGCTCTCTTCTTTTTTTATTTACTTGCTCCTTTTTTTCATTTTTAACACGGGGCGGGGTGGGGGTGGGGGGAGCTGACAGTGGAACGTCAGAATTTAGGACATTTAGCAATCCCACAACCACGGTTTGAATTTGTGAATTTTCTGCATGTGGCCTACTACAGGGAGTATATATAGAGTGTGCTCTTTTTGTAGTGTGACGCACTCCTCTCAGATACTGTGTCTCCCAGTTTAACTTGCCTGGACTTGCCCAGGGCAGTGTGTTTCCTCAGGATGGCAAAACTGGATCTTAAAACGATTTTTCTGCAAATACAGCATATGGCCCTTTAGCAGGACAGGGCTCCTCAGCCAAGGGATGCTGCGGAGTCCACCTCAGGCTGTCCTGAGGGACACAACAAAGTGTGACCAAGCCCCCTTGTAGGATTCTTGCCTGATTTAAAAAAAAAAATAGTCAGGAGGTCTCTACTGGGGTCTCCTTGTGTGCTCCCCACTGCCATCATGACCCTCTTGGCTGAGAGGTTCCCTCACCACCATTTTCTCTGCCGGGATAGATTCTCTTGATCGAGTGGTTGGTTCTGAGGCTATGAGCCCTGAGTCCTTTCTTTCTCCCTCGTTCCCTTGCCTTCTCTCCCACAGCAGCCTTGGTCAGGGGAGCCCAGAGAAGCCTGGAGTCCCATAGGGGGACGAGCCCCCTCCTGTACTAGGAATGGGATGGGAAAGAGTTGTTCTGCCCTACCCAAATCCCCAGCCTGCAGTCTGGGGCTCGCTGGGGAGGCTGTCCTGTTTGGTTTAGGCAGTAGGCCCTTGAGGCCAATTCCCTTGGGTGTGGAACATAAACAGTCATACAGAGTTAATGAGGCCTCAGTTCTGACTCAGATGCTCCTCTTTGCTCCTGCCCCGGCCCTCAGAGGACAGGATCTGCAGAGATAGCCTATGTGTACGAGGCTTCGAGGGAACAGCCTGCCATGTGTACAAGGCCATGAGGTCACAGGTGCTTCTGTGTGTGAAAGGCTGTGAGCAGACAAGCTTGAGAGGACAGATAAGATCCTACTGTGTGTACACAGCTGTTAGGAGACAGGTCCATCCATGTGTACAAGGCCATGAAGAGACAAGCCTGGCATGACAGATAAGGTCCTACTGTGTGTATGAAGCTTCGAGGAGACAGGCCCATCCATGTGTAAAGGCTGTAAGGAGACAGATCTGTTATACAACCCTGGGAGGGAACAGGCTTGTTATATTGTACTAGGTCATAAGAAGAAAGGCCTAACGGGTGTTCAAGGCCCCCCCCCCAAAAAAAAAAGAATGACCCATCCAAATATATGTTACTGTGAAAGGACAGGCCAACTGTGTGCACTAACTAAGCCATGTGTATAACAAGGCTATGAGGGGACAGCCTAGGTTGTGTGACACCAACGGTGTTCAGGATATAAGGGCACGGCATATGATTACAAAACTGTGAGAAACTGGCCTGTTTTTCTCTCTGGGCTTTGGAGACGAGAGCTCCAGTGCACACAGCCGTGAGGGGCAAGCCTGCCTAGATACCTTGAGGAGTATTATGACTGGTGATTGAACCCTTAGCCAGGTGCCTTGCCCTCCCCTACACAACTGAGACTCTGCAGCTTGGTCTTGGCTTCCTGGTATGGTTCAGAGGCCACTGCACAGAAGTCGTAAAACCTGCAATGATTGTGTTCTCTAGGGAAAGTGGGTCAATAAAAACACAACAGGCCCCGGGACAGGGCACAGGTGCAGTGTGTGACAAGAGGCTGGCTAGCCTTTGTATACACAGGGCCACAGCTGTCTACAGCTGTCCACAGCTTCTCCCTAGCAGGCTTTCCCAAGTCCCTGGAAGGTATGGCCTCATAGCCACCCCTGTTCAGACCTCTGTCCCCGCTCTGTGCTTTGGAGGATGAAAAAGTAAAAGTGCTATACTGTAGGAGGGCAGCCACTGTATTTGTGTGTTGTCCGTGGAAAGAAAATACTGACTGATGCCTCAGTTTTCTTCTCTGAAATGGGGTGTCAGAAGCACCTCACTTACTGAGTCTTTGTGAAGACCATAGAACCTATTGTTTGTGAGGGAAGTGAAGTGGGTCTGTAGAAACCAGTGCCCCTGCTACACCCCCTCCTCACCTCTTCTGGCCTCCTGGCAGACCAGTGAATCCTCACAAAGACTTCCTACTAGTGTTGGCCACACAGGGTTTCCTAGGCTCTTGAATACCCTATGTCTGTGTTCCACATACATTTGCCGTCTTGAACCTCAGGATAGCTCTTCGAAGCCTTTGTCTCTCTCGACTTATGGAAGAGGGGCTGGAGCCCAAGAGAATGAAGACATTGCCAAGACAAACGGCTTCTTAGAAGTATACTGGGCAGTTGCCATGCAGTGAGGATGGACCTGTATGTGTTCAGAGCCCCTGGTCGAGGGCAGTCACTGTCAAGGTCCCTGCATAGGCTCTTTGCTGCTCATACTCTCAGGAGTCCAGGAATCTCATCCTATACCCCACACAGGGAGGAGACCTGGCTTGTGACAGGATTGCTGGGGCACCAGGTCAGGATGACAGAGGGCCCTGAGGTGACAGCTCATCTTGCCCCCCTTGCTGAAGGCTAAGCCAGAGCACTCCTGGCATGGGAAGCTTGGGGCTCTGTACAAGCACTATCACCCTGGCTCTGTCTCTCCCTGGCCAGGATGTCACCCTGGGAAGGGCCCATCCCCGGATTCTGTGCTGTGACTTGGACTTCTCTTTCCTCTCTGATCTGTGGATCTTCTCCTGGAGTATCCAGGCAGACACACCCCCAATCGCAAAGCAGCAGGTAGTCACCATGCACTCACGCTACACTG